CAAAGTTTTAAAAGGAAAGTACAAAATATACCGACCAGAGCAAAACAAACTGAGTAGGTATAACAATTTTGAGTATTTTTCATGAGTCTGATTGAAAATGTTTCAGAGAAGAAACGTAACTACGGATGTCAAAAGACCTAGACTTCTAACGAGTTTAGTAATTGACAAGGTAACTTATTTTATATAGCATTTAAGGTAACAATCATGACTGCCATTATATCAGGACCAATAAGCTCTCTTTTTTAAAAGATAGATTTCTTAGGCGATTAATATCTAATCCTTTTCATTATCAGAGCAGCCACACTGTCTTTAAAATTTTTATGTATCAGCAGGTTAACATTACTGACAAAAATCTAACGATAGACTTTGACTTTTTACACATTTAGAAAACCATGCGAACGACCATAAGCAGACTTATTACCGATGTGAGTGACACAGGCCAGGGCCTAAATGGCAGGACTGTCGAAATGATGGGCTGCTTTCCTCTTGTCATAAGCCCCATGACCTTTTGGATCTGAAAGTTCCTGTGACACTTTTTACTTGCTCTTGTTACAGAATTAATTCACAGATGTTTACATTAGGACTGGCTGAATAACACATTTTCAAGTAATCTTGAATAGTAAATTATCTTAGTACCAGCAGAAAGCAGAACAAGTGAGCCATCTTAACTGCAGTTTAGGAATTATCCCAAAGTTGTTTACAATGTTTTAGGCATGTTAGTTAGATAAAACGATCAACTTAAACCAGAGAATTTAAAGGTAAATTTACCAATCGGCCAAGATACGTCCCAATGCACTTTCGTTACCTCCTCAGCAGAAGGCTCACTTCCCCACTGTGGCATCCCCAGACAGGCGCTAAGCCCAGCCCTGCCACCCTCTGGGACCCAGGGCAGGCTGCGCGTAACCCAAGAGCCACTCTCTCCACCTGATATCCGGCTCTGCAGCCTGATGTACTCTCCACAGCAGCCTGGGTTGAGGGTCCAGTGCGAGCCCTGTATGAGGCCCAGACCTCTTCCCTCCATCTCCATTTTCCAGGCGGTGTTCCCTGGTAGCACTGGCACCTGAATGGGCTGGCCTGCTCTCTTCCTCTTGTCCTAGCCTGCCTCAGGCTTGAGCTTGGAGCTCAGCCTCTGCTACTGCTGTCCTGAGGAGGGGGCATCCCATGGTTCCCCGGGCCTTACCCAGACTTTTCCTTTATTTAAAAAAATCATGTTGTTTACTAACAAACAACACTTCCCCTAAATGTGGGGTTAGACAGGGACCTGAGAGTCATGAGACTCAGGACTCAGTTGTAAGAGACAGATGTGAAGGGAGGACTCACAAAGGCACATGTGAGACCCCTTGCGACTAAGGATCCTGTAAGAAGCCCATAAGGGCCTGAGTATAGGGCATCTCAGGATCTCTGTCCTGATTGTAACAGAAGAGATCTAGTTGTAAGATGCTGCTGCAGTTTACAGTGCCATGAAGAGGTCATGCTTCTTGACTTTGAGGATCAAATTTAGACCAATTCTTAAGAATGCAGCTCAACCATGAGTCACAAGGGGCAGAGGACCCAGGACCCATCAGCAGGAGTCCTGCTGAACTGCAGTATCCACCCAAAAAGGGATACCTGGAGAGTGACGGGCCTCCCACATCCTGAGGGACCCCAGCATGCTGCAATCTGGGGCATCCCGGAGAGAGAGCCTCTGACTAGGAAGTGAAACTTAGAGCCAACTGCAGTACTGGGCCAGACTGTCCAGCTGGTCAGCAGGATGGACCCTGGGGAAGAGACTCATAAACCGGACCTGGTCACAGGTCAGCTGTGAGGGAAAAGACAGGCTCATTATCCTGGAGAAGCAAGAGCCTGATTACTGTAAATTTCTCAGATCAGGAAGTCTGGCCAGGAGAGAACTGGAGGCAGCAAATCTCAGAGGGAAAGCAGAGTGAGGGAAAAGGAAAGTGTTCAATGGAAGGAGGAAGTCTCACTGTCCTGGAGGAGTAGTAACTCCTGAGGTCCACAGGTTTGACGTCTTGGTGATGCAGTCAGTGGCTACTGGGCACAGATGAGAAGGGCTTTAGGGAGAGGGCCTTGCAACATATGAGGATTTACCCTTGATGAGCTGCAGCTGCCAACTAGGCCAGGTACCGAATCCAAGAGTATCTTCCTGCAGGACAGCCAGGTGTTGTATGAAGACTGACGTAATGTTTTTGTTCAACAGGGTCCAGTGGCCTTGGTGTTGCTACAAATAATCCCTCCAAGCAAGACCCATTCACAAATCTGTAAGGATTAACTAATGTGTGGTCAAGGGGATCAGAATAAAACATATATGTCCATACTGGAAAGGGACTTTTGAGGTTATATTGGTTTAACAGAAGAAATGGTAACTATAAGACATGATAAGCCACTAGATCATCTACTTAGCCTGCCCCCAACTCCTACAGGTATTAGCTGACATGGAGATATGCTGCATGGGTTTCATGGGTCACCCAGTTCTAAGTCACATGTCTTCAGGTCATCCTCATGGCATTATCTTGCACCTGTTATGCAAAAAGCACACCAAGATAGTTCCATTAAGAACTAAAGCCTAGGCCGGGGATTTAGCTCAGTGGCACCGTGCCTGCCTAAGTAAGCACAAGGTCCTGAGTTCAATCCCTGGTACCAAAAAACAATGAAAGCCTGTTGCCAGGTGTGGTGGTGTATACCTGTAACCCCAGTACTCAGGAGGCTGAAGCAGGAGGATCCCTATGAGTTTGTGGCCACCCTGGGCTTCATAGTTCAAGGCCAGCCTGAACTACATAGTGAGACCTTGTCTCAAAAAAAAAAAAAAAAAAAAAATCTTTAAAGCCTATTGAGGGAAAAGATTAAAAAAATAGTCCCAGTATAATAAGGCAAGTGCTATACCAAGGGCTGCCAAATACAGAAAAAGGAAACATGCCTGAAAGACAGGCCACAAATATGACATTGCCCAGCAAGCTTTACATAGTGCTCATGAGGCTTCAGAGAAAGCCACTATGCAGGGAAAAATTCAATGAGGCCTGTCTGACAGAGATGAAAGGCTCAAATGGCAAATATCACATCAAGTGGCTATAATTCTGCATATACACAAGATACTTCTAATGGAATTTCAGAGGTAGAAGAAGCCTTTAAAAATTATTTAATATAACCTTTGTATTTTAAGGGGAAAAAAACATTTAAAAAGGAAAAGTGGTTGGACCAAAGATCACCTAACTATCCTTAAGTCTGAATCAAACTTGTCAAAAAATAAACTTGCATAATCATCTCTGAATCACAATAAACACCAAATAATAAGGCCTGTAGCGGGGCATACTGTTATACTAAATAGACTGAAGGAATGGTCTAAAGATAGAATACAACAGTTTGAAGCAACATAGATTAGTTACAGACTGCTTACTAATAGCAGAAAATCTCACCTGTTGGTTCATTTTTCATTAACTTTCTATTAAGTGAATTAAAATTATTTTACTTCAATAGGGCTTTTACTATACTCAAATGTAACAAACCACATTGTTATGTGTTTACTATGTGCCAGAAAAAGTACCAAACATTATCAATATTTTATCTCCTTTAATGCCTATGGAAATCCTATTATGTTTTCAATTTTCCAAATGAGGTTTAGGAAGATTAACTAATTTGCTGAAGATCCTGATGGAATCAGTACTCGAAGGCAGGCAATTCTTCATCATTTTATGTTTATATTGCTTAAGATGCAAGAAGAACCGTGCTGGAGGACACAAAAGGTAGCTGCGCAGAAACCAGTTGTAAGAATATGCAGTGCAAGTGTCTGACAAGTTCACAAACATTTTGTCACAACACAAAAGGAATGATGGCAACATCGTGTTAGACCCAAAGCCTACTTTCAGGTACACAAGCTAATTTTCATGAACTGAACTATCAGGAAGATAGCTTGTGACAGGAAGTAATACACAGTGTGAGTGTGCTACTGCTGTTACTGCTGAGGCCCTTTTGTTTTGCTGTGACTTCAACTATCTTCAAATGCAAGGATTATCTTTTGTACTATTCTAAACTCCATCGTGTCACGGATAATGAGACAGAAACTCTAAGTCTGAATAACAGATGGAAAAGAACTGTCGTTTGAATTTGTGTGGTCTTTTAATACCTCAGGATTCCCAAGGAAGACAGAATGACAAGGAAGGGATGGATGCTTGATGGTCCACATAAGTGACAATTCAGGCCTAAAGGATGAGGGAATAAAATGCAGAAAATTCTACCCGGGATACCCAGGCCTTTGACTACTTCTGCTAGTGAGTGAAAGGCTACTTGCGTCATATTTCAGATGCTTTCATTGGAATGGCTGGGAGTAGTCCTCTGGCTGCCTTGCCTACATTACCTTAAACGATAGCATAAAAGGAGGACACAATTAACCTTCTGCGTGTCCTCCAAACTGGGTACAGATTCCACGTCCTACACCACAGAAGTAGAACACACATAATGTTTCACTTCTTTTCCAGATAGTTTCCTCTCACAGCCGCCATCAGCAACACCGTTAACAATATGTACCCAATGCGTTAAGTATGCTGTACACGATCACACTAGAGCTTCACAGCAGCCTTGGAGGTAGGATTGGTGTCTCTGTTCTTATTTTACGGTGGCGGAAAGCAATCGCCATCGGGCTGGCTAGTCAGGGGCAGAGTCCAGGGCGCCCCTGGGTCTCTCGATCGCCTCGCGCCTCGGGCAATTCCAAGAGCTGTAAAGCAGAACTCGGTGGTGAAGTCCTAAGCCCCAGCTAGGTCAATCCACTACTCACCTCGTCGCCACCGGCGCGGAACCAAGACCTACCCTCCGGCCTCCCGCGGCACACTCACTGCCCGGCGCCGGGGCCCACGGCCGCGCCGGCCTGCTTCACAGATCTGCCCGCCGCGCGGCACCAGGAAGTCGACTCTCCACGTCGGCGGCCCGCCTGAGGCCTGCAGATGCTAAGACGCACCCAAGGCCCGCACTTCCCTCGAGCCAGGAGCCCGGGCCGAGCCTTCCTCTCTTACCTCTTGATGGTTAGGCTTCGGAAGAGCGGGTACCACGCGGAGAACTGACAGTGCAGCACATGCTCCTTCTTCATCCTCCAGCTGTCGCCGCCTCTCCCCGCCGCTCTCAGGCCGGCGCCCTCCCGGAACCCTGCGCCACGCTTCCGGAAGTGACCGCGGAGCTGTTTTAGTTCAAGGACTCTTCCGGTGCCGTAGGGGGAAAAAAAAAAAAAAAAAAAGGAACCCAAGGTGAATCGTGTGGAGCACACTGAGCTGAGCGCAAGTGTCGCGGACACGCGCACGCGCGCACAGAGTCTGGGTCCTGAGAGAGAGAGGCTGCGAGAGCGCGCGGGAGGAAACTGCGGGAACAGCCGGACGAGCGCCTCGACCCGGAAGGTAATCATCTCAAGCGGGGTCAGCAGCGGGCTTTTACGGGTGCCGAGAGGAGGACGCGCGCACATCCTCCTGCCACCGCGGAGCCGCCGGTGTCTGAAGCCGTGGCCGTGGCATCTGCCGGGACTGCTGCTCCCGGCGGGTCTTTTTTTTCTTTTTGTCCTCTTTCCCTTCTTCGCCCCACTCCTTGGAATAGGTGAGTGGGCGGGCCAGCCACCTGCGGAGGTCTCGGGCGCGAGGGGAAGCAAGGGCGCGGGTAAGCACGTTTGGCGGCGCGCGTCCCGGGCTGCGGCGGGGCTGGCGTCCGGCGCCTACGAATAGCAGGGCTTGCGGTGGAAGAGCCTGGGTACCGGAGGAGCAGAGCTCGCCTCAGCCCAGGGTCCCAAGTGTCTGTGAGGCAGCGGCGGAGGAGGGGGAGGATGGACCCTGCGGGGTGGGTCCGCCCGCACGGCCCTGGCGGTCGCGGGGCTGGGGCTGGGGTCGGTCAGCGGAGGTCGACTCGAGAGAGGACACTGTTGTGTTGTCCCTTTGGGGCATCGAGTTTATTTAGTCCAGCCCCGCAAAAGTTACCAGCTTCGAAAACCAGCCAGATTTTCGTTATTGTTTCCGCGATGGAAGAATTCTAGTTGCACTTACAATACCATTTTTCCCTGGACTCCCCTGTCTGCCTGGCATTCTACAAAGTTCTGTTTTGTTTCTTTAGAAGACTGAAAAGTCACAAGCTGCTGAGAAACGCCTTTGAGACCTGGTCGTGCATCCTATCATTACAAGCCTTTGGGAATGTCCCAGGCACCTCTGTCTAAAAGTCGCCCGTAACGGACATTGCCTTAAAGCTGGTCCACCAAAGCAGGTTTAAATTAGAAGTAAGGGCCCCACCGACGGCAGGCTCTTCTAGAAAGGAATTCATTAGCAATAGTGGGATCCACGGTGAATTTGGAGTTAGAAGCTTCCCTGCCGAAGGTAATTTTTCTCAGAAATGTTACTGGTGCCGAGTGCCCGCACATGCCTGTAATTCCCGCTGTTCCAGAGGCTGAGGCAAGAGGATCAGAAGGTCGAGGCAAACCTGGGCAGGTTAAGGAGTCCCTTTCTCAAAATAAGTAAACAAATAGATAAAAACCTAGTACTGCAAAAAGTGGGAGGAAAAAAGTTACTGGCAAAGTGGTTAGTTGGGAGTATTGTTTTAAAGGATGCATTTTCAAAGCAGAGGTAAATAAATTTTAACATTGTAGTGTGTGGTTGTGGAGTATGGGCTGTAGTGGTTCATTTGCAAGTACTTATTTTATTTTGGTTTTGGTGGGGGTTTTTTTTGAGACAGGGTCTCGCTATGCAGGGTGCCCTTGAGCTCATATGTAGCCCAAGCTGGCTTCGATCTCGGGGTGATCCTCCCGCCTCAGCCTCCCAAGTGGTGGGATTACAGGCCTGTGCCACTACACCAGGTTGCTAGTACTTCTGAAGTCCAAAATTAAAGTCCTTTTTTTTTGTTTTGTTTTGGTTTTTTTGGTACCGGAGATCGAACTCGGGACCTTGCACTCGAGGCAGGCGCAGAACCACTGAGCTAAATCCGCGGCAGCCTTTTCTGTTTTGAGGGAAAGAAGCGATATTCCATCTCCTAATATTAGAGAATGGAACTAGTCGAACAGAGCTAAGAGACCTAGTAGTGGACTTGAGAGTGCAGTCCCGTTTGTGTTTTTGTTCTTTGTTTTAGTCCCATTTGTTTTTACTGTACGTGTATTTGGCCTAGAAGTGCAGTATAAACGTTGCAGCTGAAGGAAATACTGCCCCCATTGGGGTGCATCTGGGTATTCTTCTGTAGAAGAGTCAATTATATGGGAAGCCGGTCGTGACACTTGACTGTAATCCCGGCAGGATCGCTGTGAATTCGAGGCCAGTGTGGCCTGTATAGCGAGCCCCTGTCTCAAAAAACAAAACAAAAAAGAGTTCGTTGTATGGGAGAAAACAGGCTGAGAACTTTGTCCTTCCTTTCTTTAAAAGACCAGGAAACATTTAGACACAAGTTGCTACAAATGCAAAGCCTTAATATATCATTTGTAGAGAAGTAGCTAAATCTGTAAATTTAAATATTCTCCAAGGGAGGAGTTTAACACAGATGTTTTTGTATTCAGACTCTCTAGAACTCTTTTCAGTGATTTTTTAGTATTACTCACTCTGGATGTAGGTAACTTGTTACACGTTTACCCAGACTCCAATAATTTGACATTACTAAACAGGAAATGCTCTTGTATTTGAACAATACAGCTAAATTAGCTACTTTTTAACTGCCATGTTGATCTTCACTTAGCCATGCAGTGCTTATATTCAGATTTCTCCATTAAAACCTCTACAGCAGTGGGAATAATTTTTTTCTTGTGCATATTTTAAAAGTCAGTAGTCAAGTGATTGTGGAGAAAGAGGATTTAACCCTGGAACGAACTATTCCAAGAAGCGCCCACTGGGTGTCATTACTGTACAGTCTGTAGCCAGTTAACCTTTGCAGGGGTCAGTACAGTCATTTCGTTACTGCTCAACCAGAATTAAAGGGATGATGATAAACCATTGGGTAAATGATTATAAATCACCAAGTTGTATCTCAGTAAGTGTTTATTCCTCCCATCCACCCCATGTTCACACCTGCTGGACAAAAGGGGGAAAACCCCACAGAACTTGCAGTGGCTTCCATCATTAACCAGGAAGTCTGCATTATTTGAGGATAATTATCGCAAGGAAAGGATTACTTAGAGTAACTCCATCTGAAGTAGGTACCATAAGTGATACAAAAGAGGGATTAATCAGAATATTTTCCTTAAAAAAAGGGAAGTTCTATGATTATAACCAAAAGAATTAAATACAGCTATACTATTTGAGTCTTTGTTTCTTATTAAATCATGGATTTTTGTGTCATTTTGACAGAAAGTAGACTGACATCTTAGACATGCATAAATTGATGCTTGACTTTAACAATAAGATCATAAAGTAAATTATTTCCACAAAAATTGCTATCTCCATTTAATTTCTTTCTCACTGATTTTTCGATTACATCATTAAACTGTTCCAGCTGCCTGACCCTTTTCTGTCATGGGAAGCTGTGTTTATGAATGGAATTTCTATATTTTTCTTACTTCTGAGCAGGGGACAGTTCGGGTTGGGTCTCACTGTGTTGCCCTGGCTGGGACAAGTGCCACTGCACTTGGCCAACTCTTTACCTGGTTGAGTGTTGCTAATGCTTGTGATAAGTTTTGTCAAGAGATAGGAGATACATGGCCAACATGTAATTAATGGTTTTTGCTTCACTTGCAGCCTCAACAAATTGCAGGGATCCAGGTATAATAACTGAAGTATGAGCCTGAGTACAGACTCCACAGCCTGCCTTTGGAGTTCTCAGTTCAACTTTTTGAATCTTAAATTCCACTCATCGGTTATCCAGCTGGTATTGATACTGAAATGTGCGTGTTTGTGAACATCACCTAACTTCCTGCCCTTGAGTGGAGGGTTGTACTTGTCACCTAACTCCAAAACTGGCTTGCACAGCAACAGAAACGTGTGGTATCCCAGTCTGGCTTGAGTACTTTGCCAGCGTATTCAAAGGGGAGGAGGCAGGGATCCAGCTGAGTCTGTGTCCTGCGAAATGTATTTGCAAATGCTGACGTCTGTTCTATGTGCAGGGGTTTTGGCTCTGGTTCCTAAGAAGGGTGGGTGAAAGGTTGGGAGCCAAAGAGCTTGCCTTGACCCAGTAGCATTTGTTCTTTATTCATGTGGTTCCTTCTAGTTGGAATGCTTTTCCTGCTGTCTGGGTCTCTACTCAATCTCAGTGTCAGACTACCTTTTAAATCTCGAAATAGCACTGAGTCAGTTCAGGAAGGCTCCGTGACAGTAGAGGAGACAGCGAGGCATGACGCGTGGGTTCAAGTCTCATGTCTGTTTCTTTCTGCCGCGTGACGCTTGTGAGTAGCCCCAGAATTAGGATTTGGCTTCTGTTTTTGAAATAGTGCTAAAAGTAACTCCTTTCCTGTTTCAGTACTATTTTTGAAGTGCTGCTACAGTTCTTCTGAATCATTTTGGGAATCTGGTAGTAAAGAATACTGTCTGTATACTTGCACTTGTTGCCACTTTGCTGCTGTCCCATACACTGTCAGTGGATTGCCTCAATACCACTTCTCCTCCCTACTGACTCATTACTGTTGGGAGATCCAGACTTGTTTGCCACTTTTTAATTTTTAATTCTTGGTAATTTATGCCTCTAGCTTCCCCCACCACCATGGGTAATTAATATTTTAGCTTAAATATCTTTTAATACAAGGTGTTTGAAACTGCTGTTTAATGTGTGGATGAGGATTGAGCTGTAGACTTTTTAATTGACTTTAACTCAGTTAAAGGAAGATTAGTAGATGAGGAACTCTCCTTCTGGATAGTACTTTCTTGCCCTTCTAATAGTCAACCATCCCCCTGAAAATTAAAGAAGCTGTGAAGATAACTGTGTGTACATAAGGGGACCTAGCAGATAGCTAAATGCCTTGAAGTCTGCAACTCTAAAGGCATTAGTTTCACCTTAAATTATACTAAAGTATAAGCACCACCAAAAGATACCAGAATATCTTGATCAGGATTAGTCAGAATATTTTCACTTTAAAAGTGGTTTTTAAGTTTTATTATAACCAAAACTATTGGATACAGCTATACTTGCTATTATAAATCATGTGATTTTTGTGTAATTATTTTGACAAAGTAGAATGGCATCTTACAATGCTTACATTGATGCTTTAGGGTCCCTTTAGCTTTTGTGTCACATGTTAGGACCATGTTGCTTGGGGTTTCTGGAAATCCAGGTCAAATGCCCTTTTCATGGGGAAGTGGACCCTTGACTTAGAACTCGGTTGGTTCCCGAGGGCTGGTTGTAACTAAGTACAGCTGCGATCTGAATGTTTACCTGGGTACCTGCTATGGATAACAAGAGGCTGAAGAATCTTCCGTTAACCTAATTAACCCAAGTTGTTGGTATGTCAGGACGGTGGTAACTGAAGGGTCCACTGAATCTGATTCTTTGGTGCTTGTACTTTTGAAGACCTCAGTTTTTTGCTTTTTAAAAGTTTGTATATGGGCAAAAAAGTTAATTTGGGCTTAGAATGCTACTTTTGAAAAAAAGGTAGGGCTGGGGATGTAGCTCAGCGGAAGAGAGCTTACTTGCTGGCGTGCCTGAGTCCTGGGGTCCATCCCCCACACCACAAAAGAGGAGATGGAAGCTTAACCCACTTACTCTGTGCCATTGTAGACCGTTTATTTTGTGCATGGATGGGCCTGCTTGGCTAACCAGAAGCTGTTTTCTCTGTCGGAATCAAAAGCTTTCCTTCTCTCAGCAAGTTTCCTTCTGCGATGTATATGTTATTAACAGAAGGGATGGATATGTAGAAGATAAAGTTCTTCTGAAGTCTCTTTGTCCTGTAGAACATGCAGATAGAGGCAGGTTGGTTTTATACCTTGGGTTAGCTCTTACCTGGATCCGCATGCTACTTTGCCAAAAATATGTAAATTATTTCTCTACCAGTGCCAGTTAAAAGTTTTCCTAATTATCATCTGGGACAACTTCAAAGAAATGCCCGCCTGTTCTCTTACAGAGTTCTAGGTTTTCATATGCTCAGTGACTGTCTAGATATTCCAGTACTGTGTATCGTGCTTCCCTGCCACTCTCCAGGCCCTTTTCTGGGGCTAGCAGGTTAAAGGTGTTTCCCCAGTCACCCCTTATGGATTACTGCACCCCATCTCCCCAGTCTTTCTAGCGTCATACCCTTTTCTATAAACTTCCAGTCACCTGGCAGCTTTGCACACTGCTCCCCCTTTTCTCCTCTTCCTCCCCACCAGAAGGTGAGGACCTGCATCCCTCACAGCATCTTTCCCGTCTGCCGGGCAGTATAGTACTTAGCTTCCCTAAGTCAGCCAGCCAAGTATTTGATCTTTTTAAGGCATTCTTTGTTGACTGATTTGAAGGTAGGGAAACTTGATCTCTGGGATAAAAATTGAAGATGTGATGAATAGAATAATTATCACTTTGGGTCCCAGAAGAAACAGAGCAAAGACACTCTTCCGTTAGGACAGTAAGAGAATTGGTGCTTGGTGGTCTACACAATTAGCCCTCTATATTTGTCAGTTCCACGTGCATGACTAAAAATATTCAGGGGGAAATGTGTCGGTACTGAACTCTGTAGCCCAGGCTGGCCTCAGACTCACAGCGATCCTCCTGCCTCAGCCTCCCAAGTGCTGGGACTACAGGCATACACCACCATGCCCAGCTGTACTGAACATTTAACAGGCTTCTTGACATTGGATCGTAAGTAATCAGAGATTTAAGTAACGTTAACCCTATCCCTAAACCTGTGTACCCCAACTTGTTAAAAAGAGAAGCACAGACAGCACCTGAAAGACTGACACTTGGAGGCAGCAGATGACGGGAGGGTGTGGAGAGTGACATCTAATCTTACTGTTGCTGTACATTGGAAAGAGCTTTCCGTTTGGAGTCAAAACACCGGATTAAGAAAGTGCAAAAGGGACTGGTGCTGTTCAGTGGTGGCGAACCTTTCGGAGCTTTCAGTGATACAAACAGCCTGCTAGGGCACGCCTGCCATAGGTTCACCACCACTGGAAGTACAGTAGGAACTAATGAGCGCTGGTTCCAACCGCGCTGGCCTGAAATTCTTGCCTGGATGTTTCCGGAGTCCTCTAGATTTCCGTTTCCGTCTGGGGCACCTGGGAACAGCAGCTTTGATGGTGAATAAATGTTTTGTCACTTAAGTACTGTGGCGCGCAGCCTATGGACAGTGCTTGATTCAGAAAAAATTTAGCCTAAACAAATCTCATTATCTTGCAGCGGGACCTTCTCATCTGAGGGCTGTAAAGATTAACCAAGTCGGAAATGGAGACCCAAGAGCCAGCAGATTCTTCTCAGAATACCAAACAGTCTGTTGTTTCAGAGGAGGTATGACCCGACTTTCACTTTCCTTTCCCTTCCCCTCCCCACATACATCTGAATTTAAAAGAAGCATGTAGGCTATTTATTGTTTCACGTGATTGTTTTTCATTCATTCTTAAGTTTTTAGACACTTCCTGCTCCCATTTTAAGGTTCAGGCACTTCCTGCTCTTGGGTGAGAACGGTAGCTTATCCTTAGTTGTATTTAGTCATGAAATTAGATTGTAAGTAGATTTTGGCTCTTGATAAGAAAAATGCTTTAATTCTTATTAAAAGGTTCCCTGGATAGAGAAATGAATAATGTGTGAGTTTTAAGACTTTGCGACTTCATATTTAGTTCTATTTGTGGTCCCAACTTATGTAAGATCAACAGAAACCTAAACTGTTAATTGTAGTCCAAATAACATTGAGTTCTAGAACTTTTCTCTGTCTTGTATGTTATGCAATTTAGATTTTTAAGTCTCTTCTTCCAGGAACCATTGGAGAGGATAAATTTTAAATCCTTCTTGGAACTCTGATCTTGACACCTTCTGGAATTCTTTTTGATGTACTATCTTTCCGTGTTGTCTGTAAACAGATCTGCTGATAGTTACTAGAAGTGAAGGATAGTGAGGAAAAGGCTCCCTGTCAGTTCAGTGTAGTGCCATCGGAAAGGTAGTCCTCGTAAGCAAACTTCAGACAGTTCTGGGGTGCCTTCTTGGGTTGTAGGAAACCCACGTGTCACGGTGGGAAAATCCAGTCTGGGACACTGATGGTGAAAAACCACTGGTGAATTTTCACATACCCGTGTACCAGTGTGGCTAGCGTCCAGACCGGGAAGCAGAACGTTAGCAGCACTGCAGAACACCCCTCCCTGGGGCTCCCCTCCATTTGCCCCCACTCCCAACACTCCAGGAGTTTGTATTTATTTACCTATTCGTGCTGGAGGCTGAGCCCGGGACCTCATGCACGCTGACCACATGCTCTACCACTGCGCTACATCCCTAGCACTCTTCTTAGTTTTTAAAGATTATCATTTCTTTTTACCTCGCAGTACTACTACAGAAATTCCAAAAGAAAAACAACTTTGAATGTTTACTCTGAACTGAAAACTTGCCCACAAATTATTGGAGGGACTACATATATAAAATCTAAAAGAAAAAAAAAATACCCTTTCAGATTAAAAAACCAACTTGATTTGAAAGTTTCTGAACTTACTATCTGATCTCCTTTTAGTTAATTTCAGAAGGAAAATGGGTCAAGCTTGAAAAAACAACTTACATGGATCCTACTGGTAAAACTAGGTAAACTTTTCCCCTCTTGTAAAATGAGTATTTGGGTTCTCTGGGTCTCTATTGAGTGTCTGACATAAACTTTGATGTTTTTCTCATTGTAAACTGTTTTTTAATTGAAGAGTCTAAAATAGATTTCTCCCCCATTGTTAGAATGTTTGGATCGTTGGTAATCTCTGAATAAAATTGGGTGTAAATTTGTTAAAATAACTAATTAGGAGTCTATTCTCCCTAGATAAGTGTAAACCTAAAACTTTGGGGCCAAGCCTAATTTGAGCCGACAAGGTAAGTAGAATAATTAATAGTACGTGTTGCTTCTTTTAAGTAAAGCCCATTTTAATCTCTAAGAACGAAAGAGGAAAAAAGTATTGCTGGCTGAGGTAAAACTCAAATGGTTACACCTTGCTCATGCAAATGTAAATTGGAAAAACATCTTTTTTGTGAAGCATATTTCACTATATGTATCAATAGCCATAAAAACACCTTTTGACCTAATAATTCCACTTCTAGACTATGCCAAGAAAATGGTCTGTTGTTTAGAATTAGATATATGCATGAAAAATGTAAAAGTCAGAAAGCAACCTAAACATCTTAAAAATAGGGAACTAGGGCTGCTGGTGTGGCCCAGTGGTAGAGTGCTTGCCGAGCATGTGTGAGGCCCTGGGTTCCATCCCTAGCACTGGGAAAAACCAGGGAACTAATTGTTATAATATAGTTGAAGAAACTTAGCAAAGTGGGAAAAGTTAGCATGTTGATAGTAAAATAGAAAATAGTATATACACTTTTAAAGACTGCCAATATGTAAGAAAAGGCTAGAATATATGAATAGCAAAAAGGCAGCTGTGTAATTAACTTTTGTCTTCCACATTTCCTGCTTAGCAATTTTTTGGTATTATAAATTGGGGGAAAAAGCGCTAAAATATTTAGTTATTGTGTTTAATATAATAACACGAGGAGAAACATGGAAACTAAGTTTATTGTACAATTTACATGATTCAGATTCATTTAAAAAATTACTAAGTAAGAGGCAGGGTTTCTCTGTGAACAGATACATCTGTCATTAAGGTGAAAATATATGGAGTTGCCAATAATTTAAACAGCTTTTGATTTTAGCTATTCAACTGGCAGAAACCTTAGTAAGCTGCAGTGCTGGAGATCCACAGGACAGAAACTAAATCAGCACATCATGATCCTTCAACCCGAGGGAAGGCTGATGCAACTGTTGAAGCGAGTCTGACATGTAGAACTCGTTGTGAAATAAGCAGGCACAGCAGCCAAACCCGCCACAGAAATGTGGCAAGGCCCAAGCTCTAGGGAACACAATATATTCCAATATATTTGTATTTCTGCAAATACATACAAATACTGAAACCCAGTGTGTAACAGTTTGGTTTCCTTGTCCCTATAAATTTAAGTTTATAACATAATGTGGCCCTTAACACTATTTAGCTTAGGGAATATGTGTTAGCTCATGCCAGTTTATCTGTCAGGAATGTGGATCAGAATCATTGGAGATTGTTTCTCAGGATACTCATGCAGAGATCTCACCTCCAGAGAGTCTGTACTAGTTTGGGAGTAGGCGCTCAAGTCTCTACCAAAGTGCTGGATTTATGCAGTATGTTTAGGGCTGCTCACCTCCATTTTTCCGGGCCTGGGTCTTCCTTGACCTCTGACCAGGCCTTATACAATGTGTTAATGTTTCATACCAGAATGTCAGGCGTTGAAGAATGAATCTACTTTCTAGTAGACTGCTTTTTAAATTTATAAAAATGTGTTCTTTATTTCCTGGTATAAAAGGTAAAATAGCTAGAGAATCCTTTGTTCTGCTGTGTCATTCGTGGAAGAAAGGATGTGGAGTTAATTTTAGAAGTGTGAAAATACAGGGTAGTCAGTCCCTGCACTGGCAGCCAAGATAGTGCTAAGCCATCATCCTTGGTTACTTTCTGGCTCGTGTTGGTAGACTAGAGGGGGAAGCAAACCAGGCTTTCCTGTAACAAAAGACACTGGAGAGCAGAGTAAATTAAATGGAAGCAGAATTCTGAAGCTAGAAGAGATTCTTGAGTTACTGCGCTCATTCCAAGATAGTGCAGGATACTTAACCACTAAGTTTACAAGCAAAAAACATCTCCGGGAGGTTGGAGCTTGGGGTTTAGCAGAGAGGCAGGTAGAGACTAAGATTTTCTCACATCTGGTCAAATGTTCATCTCTCTGAGTCCCTTTAAGATAGTTGGATTTAATGAGGCCCAGTCTAAAAATAAAAAGGGCAGGGGATATAGCTCACTGCACAGGCCCTGGGTTTGGTCCCCAGTACCCCAACAAGAAAAAGGATTGTTGGCACTCTCACAGGGAGCTCTTGTTCTAGTGTTTCTTATGAATGCATTTATACTTTACTGCTCATACTTTATGGCTCTTTACTGCTTCTTTTCCTCCATTGTAACCACTGTAATGATGCTCCTCTTTGTTTCCCTTATTCCTAGTGTATTTGGGATGGACCCTTCAGTGCTTTTCCCAGCACTGTCTTCTTCAGTCTTTAGGACTAACCCTAAGAGGCAGCAGAGAGAGTATGCCAAAAGGTGTTTTGTCTCTTGCAGTCTGTATTATTTACTCATCAGAAAGTGCTTGTGGGTTGGCTTCTTGCTACTAACAGGAACACTGGGCTGCCGTGAGCTGTCAGAGTGGTCTGTTTAATTTTCATAGGTTCTTTGTGACACCTTGCCCTTTAGGATTGGGTACAATGCTGAAATATCTGAGAAAAATTTCAGGAACTGTGGCAAGGTCAAAACCTTAGGGTGAGAGAACACAGATGACGCAGAGGCTCTGTCCACGTGGTGCCTCTTGTAGCTCAGGCGAGGGCGCTGGTGTTGACTCCTTCCTTATCCCAGGCCCACTGCCACTAGATGCCTGACTTCCCTTGAAGACATCCTGAAGCTGTTTGCCTCTCCACCCCGTCTTCTACCACAGCGTCTTCCACCTCCAGGACGAGAGGATAAAAGGGTCGTTTTCCATTATGCCCTCTCCCTTTAAATGCGGTGGTTTTCCATACGACTTCTTAGTGTTCCTGTAAGAGGGCCAACAGCACAGAGTTTCCAAAACCCGAAGTAGGAAACACAGCCAGGAACAAACAGCTGACGAGTAAACCTGTAACAGTAACAGCAGTTTGCTGTCATTGCCTCACTTTTTCCTCTAGAGAAAAAGTAAAAAGCCTTTGCCCCCTTAGATAAGACCTAACTCGTGCAAAGTAGAGCACTTACCTAACTTGAATACTTCCTCACTTACTAAATAGGAATGTTTTGCTTTCTTAAGTTGCGTAGTTAGGTCACATTAACCAGAAGATCTATCAGAAACCTCAGGCGTTCACACGGTGCGTGGTGTCTTTGGTGTGTGGAGCCAGGCTGCAGTGTTCGGAGCTTCCTCTGAATCACTTTGAGTAGTGGCCTTGACACCCTAATCCCCGGCTCGTTCGCACGGGGTGATTCTCCCAGCTGAAGTGTTTGGGAAAGCGGCAGCCCCAGTGCTCAGCAGGCTTCCTATGCAGGTGGCTCCAGATGGTTAGCTGTAAAATGACAGCCATTTTCTTTGGTGATTTCGGAAACTGAAAGAAACTGCAGTTGGCTTTTGTACAGATCTGTGTTGTCGTGGTCTTCCTGACCAGTATTAGTACATTTGCATGCACTGCATTTGTGAAGTTCTGGTTGCACACAGAAAACCTAAGAATGTTCTCCTCTTCGGCACTAATGAGTTGTTTTCTTCTCTGCCTGAACAGAACTTGGGAAACCGTGAAACGAACGACCAGGAGGGGCCAGTCTGCTGACGGTATGCTAGCCTAGACGCCTCTGCAGGGTGCTATTGAAAGTGCCTGGAGACCTCTGTGCACAGCTGTCTTTGGTTTTAACCTTTTCTCTGTAAATTGGTTTCTGCAGTGCTGAAGCTTCCTTTATAAGCAAGCTCTGGCCACCGTGCTAAAGCCCAGAGCAGTGTTTTTAAGAAGATGCACTGCTGTTTACAGCTGAACAAATCGATACCGTTTGAGGGCCACACGCTGTGTCTGTGTGTGTTAAGACTTCTAGACTCATAACTGTTCAAAGGACCTGGGAGAGAGCCTTAAGAAATACTCGGCCCAGCTTCAGGCAGCCTCCGCTTGCTCCCCAGGTGACGAGGAAAGGGGCTGGGAAAAGGCTGTTCCCTCGGCTCGCTCTCCCTCCAGGCAGGGGTGCTGGGACTGCGGAGCCCTTAGAAGCAGTCCTGGCAGTCACGTGTGGTTGTGGGACAGCTGAGCATTTGGTTTTACTTCCCTGGTTTTACTTTTTGTTTTCCATTTGGTTACTGGAAGCAAACAGTCGCTTGGCTGCAGTTGCTGCTCTGAACCAGTGCAGACGCATTTAGGAGGAGCGAGCGCTCTTCCTGGGTGGTGGGTGTTTTCTAGAACCCAGTGGCTTTTGTTTCAGTTAAAGCCACATGATTTGAAAGAACATCTCATCTACCTAGAACAGTAAAAGTCAGTCTAATTAGCATGTGCAGGAAACAGGCGCATTGGTTTACTGCTTCAAGGACAGTAACTTCCCCAGTGATCTAGCTACTGCCGGACCCGAAATGGTTTCTGTACAGAGCTTAGTGGAGGCTGACATTTCATGCCCCTGGTCCTGTGTGGAATGTCTGGTCTCAGTTTTAATTTTATTTTTTAGAAAATTGTGACTGGGCATGGTAGCTCGTGCCCATAGTCCCAGCTGCTTGGAGGCTGAAGCAGGAGAATCATGAGTTCAAGGCCAGCCTGAGCAACATAGCAAGACCATTTTTCTTTCTCAAAAGAGAAACTGCAACAACTAAAATGAGCTTTTTATTTAGAAAAATAATTTAAACATAGCAGTGTGACTTTTTTAAAAAAAGAGAGAATAGCTTCCAGAGTTAACTGCCAGCACTGAGTTAACTTCTTTATTGCTTAATGGTGCATTCAGCGTAGATTGGAGAGTTTCTTCCCCTCTGAGGATTTAGTTGGGTTGCTGTAAACAAATCGCTAGTCTGGCCAGCCTTCGGTTTCGTTTTCTGGTGACAGGTGTGGCAATCATCCCAGTGCTGCAGAGGACTCTGCATTATGAATGCATCGTTCTGGTGAAGCAGTTCCGACCTCCGGTGGGTGGCTACTGCCTGGAGTTCCCTGCAGGTGAGCGAGCCATGGAGCGAGCATCACGTTGCCTCTCCGGCTCTGTTGGTTTGAGCCAGGGCAAAGCCTGAGACTTGCAGTGCTTATGTCTTTGTCGTTTTTATCTTACCATAGAAGTGTGGGTGTAAGTAAAACAAGATCATTCCCGTCGTCGTGAGGCTTCTAGGGGAGTGGCCACGGGCAGACAGCGCAAGGCAAAAAGGGCGTGAGGCGCAGCTCTAGGGCCCCTTCCACTCGCCCTGCTGGCTCTGCCTGCTCCTCCTGCTTCCCCTCGAGTAACTGCACCCTGACCTTGTCAGCATATTTCACTCTCACTAGTGTCTGTCCCCATAAGAAACTTATCATAATGTGTAGGTCAGGCTCTTAACTCCAAAAGCCATCCATAAAAAAGACACCTGGACCTGCTGTATATAGACAGGCCAAGGAAATCCTGTTTCAAATCGAGTAATTTTTTTCAGTCACACAGTGCAGAAGTGATCCAGGGTTGAAGGCACGGTATTATCACAGGACTTACTGGATTGTCCCATTATTTGTCAGCTGCAGTACAGGTTTTGTAGCTCGGTGTAGAGCGCTTGCACTGTGTGCACAAACCCAGTCCGATCCCTGCAGTGAGGGGAAAGTCCAGCCCACGGTAACTATTAACTTTTTTTCTCATTTACTTGCCATCTAACTGAAGAAATTAATAACACTGAAAGTCACTGAAGAGCCTGCATTTCACATTTTCTTTACCTTGTTTTCTTCCATTCAGGAAAGAGAATCAGTTGCTTTTCTCCCCCACTGAGCCTCTGTATCCGCCCCGCCCAATGGTCACTGTGGTTCCCTAACGTCTGTAGCCTTCAGTCCATTCCCTCTGGCATGTCACTACAAGGCCTTGATATTTTTCTGAGGAAAAAAGTCAACATAGATTAAGACTGTCACCATCTTACATGTAAGAAAACGGGAAAAGATGATAATTCTGTGCTGTTGTCACAGCCGGCTTCAAAAGCCTAAGCCACTTGGCTACTATCAAGTCCTTTTTCCTCACAAATGCTAACACTGTTGCGATCTAAATAATGAGAAGTGGAAGATACCGATCAGAATGTACTTAATCTGCCAAGGGTCTATTCTTTTGTCTTTTCATCTTTAGACTGTATAAAAGTTCCAAACTTCAGTCAGTTTTAGCTGTATGACCACTTTTCAAAAAGTTCAGCAGCAGCTGTGTTAGAAGAATGAGAGATTCAAAGAAAACTGGGTTTCCCTTTCCCGTCTGACAGGTCTCATCGATGACAATGAGAGCCCAGAAGCAGCTGCACTTCGGGAGCTGGAGGAAGAAACTGGTTATAAAGGCGATGTTGCCGAATGTTCCCCAGGTTTGTGCTGCTTGCCAGGTAGGCTCTTGGGCACAGGCTCTTGAAAATTAACCAAGCAATAAATTCATCTAGGCATAAAAGGATTGGTCATGTGAGTGTTCTTCCTGGTAGAATTCAGGTGGATATATTTCCTGTAATTTTATACAGAAAAACTCACAGATTAAAATTGATCACCAGGGCTGGGGATTTAGCTCAGTGGTTCTGCTTCCTGCCTCACAAGCGCAAGGTCCCAACTTCGATCCCCAGTACCAAAAATAATAATAATAATAATAAAATTGCTCACCGGCCGTGAGTCTCTTCTCACGAGAGCAAGTTGGAGCAAGAGGGGCCTGAAGGTGGGAATTACAGAGCCAGGCCACCTTCAGGATCCCATACCCAGACTTCGTTACTTCCCTCACCCACCTGCCACAGTCCTCACTGAAGTTCTTTTGCTGCGGTGCTGTCTTTCTTTCTGGAACTTGTCAGTGCCGTCTAATCCCTCAGGCGTCCAGACCCAACTCAGTAGCTCTGGGAAGAGTTTGGGAGCTTGGCACAGACATGCTCTGCAGTCCGCACTAACCTCCACTGATTGCATAGAGCAGCTGTCATTTCCTCCATCACCTCTGCATCAGCTGTGAACCCGAGCCCTGTGTCATCTTCCTGAGGTAAATGACGAAGGGACTGAAGCACGCAGCTGGCTCCTTAGGGAGGCTCGTCGCTTCTTTCCGCAGCTGTGTGCATGGACCCGGGCCTGTCAAACTGCACCACACACATCGTGACGGTGACGATCAACGGGGACGATGCGGAAAATGTCAGACCTAAGCCAAAGCCAGGTAAGCGTGCGTGGGCGCTGCGAGTCACTGAGCTGAATGCAGAAGTCTGACAGTTCGTACGTTGCAGCATTCCGTATTGTTTGTATGAGGGTTACCCCACTCGGTGATACAAGCTACAAGCCTCAGTGCAATGAGAAGCTTCAAAATCCCCAGGTTCCTGTTTTCCTGCGTATTGTAAGGATGGCATAGAGAGCAGCTAACGATTATTCCTTATGGACTTCTATACTTTTTAGGGACTCTGTTAGGATATTCTTTGCTCTAATATATTTCTTAGCAAGTTTGGATTCAGAAGCTTGAGTGTCCTTTTTTTCTACTGGTACGTGGGATTAAATTCAGAACCTTGTTGTTGCGAGGCAGGCGCAGCATCAGTGAGCTACATCCCCAGCCCTTGGGTGTCTTTTTCACTTCCACGTCATCTCTCCCACCCCTTTAGAGGGGTATTTAAACGTATACGAGAGTAAATCATGTATGAGTGGTAATTCTTTAATTTCGTACCCTCTTTAGTGTTTATTATGTTTCGGTATTCCGAATTTTAAATGCTTAATTTTTAAATTGTAAACATACATATGACACGTGGTGGAAAAGTGTGGCAATTCCTTAAAAAGTTAAATACAGAACTACTTCATGATCCAGCATTTGTACTCCTAATCATACACCCAAAAGAGTTTAGAGCAGCAGGCTCGGATACTTGTACGCCACTTTATTAGCATCACTCACTCACATGAGCCAGAGCAGAAACAGGTAAAAGGACCAACAGCAGACGAATGGATAAAGCACACACGGTGTGTACAGTACATAGGAGGGAGTGTCACTGAGCCATAAGAAAGAGTGAAACATGTTACAACATGGATGGACCTTGAAAACACTGTGGCAAGTGAAATAAGCCAGGCACTGAAGGGCAGGTGGGATGCGATTCTACTTATGTGACATATGCAGAATGGACACCTTCATAGACGGAACAGAGCAGCGATTACAGGGATGAGAAGTTTACTGGGTTCCAGGTTTCTGGGATGACAAAAGTTACGAGATTAATAGTGACTGCACAGCATTGTGAATGTTATTAAATGTCACTGGACTGTAATGTGTATATAAAAGAAATACATATATGTATATGAAGACATTACAGAGTGTACTTTACGTTTGGAGAATAGTAACTTTGTACTGTTGGAATTTTTTCTCCTATAAGATAAATTACTAAAACTTAGGTCTCTGCTAAATTCTTTCAGTCATTTTGATACATCTTACACTATAATCTTCCCAGGTTTACCACTCCAGACTTGCTAACAGTGTTCTCCTTCTGTTTATTTTCAGGGGATGGAGGTATGTTACTCAACTCCTAGTGGCTGACCCTGTATGGCTTAGTGTAGTGGTAATGGCAACAGATAATTGTGGGTTGTTGGGTAGGCTTCTGTTTTCCGCTGTTTTCACTTGCACTTTGTTTGTTTAGAATTTGTGGAAGTAATTTCTTTACCAAAGAATGACCTGCTGAATAGACTTGATGGTAAGCATTCTCAAGATTATTACTCCATCTTCACTATTTTCCCTGGTCCCATCCCTAGCAATTGGGGTATTACATTCCTTTTCTTTATCTCATCGATATTGAGTACCTAAAACTGTTGTAAAACTGAAGTTGACCAATACCGAGTGGCATATAGTTCACAAATATGAGCAAAATATTCTGTCAAGTAAAATCTTTTAGTAGGAGCTATTTTTCTCCCTCAGAATGGTCAGTTATTTTCCTGCTGAACAGCTAAAACGATTTTATACTTTAAATTTTTAATCCATACCAGTGCAAGAGTGTAAGTAGATATCTCTTAGATTGTACAACTGTACTGTTCACTAGTTCTTTGTGGAAGGTGTGAGTTTAGGAGGATTTAACAGTGCTTTCCTAAGTGTGATAAGCTGATGTAATGAATGAAACTAGCTATGTGACCCTCAGTAAACCACTAGACATATGGTTAGATTGTCTGCCAGCCCATCTCACAGGAGTTTTGTAAAGGTCCTACTGTGTGGAGAGATGTTCTTTGATACAACTGCGCGAGGAGATACTGTTAATGAAGACGTTAATGCCCTTCCAGGGGCGCCTCTATGCTGGTTGCATAGATCCCCATTTGCTCATTTATAAAGGAAGCAGAACATGTTCATAAAGTGAATATTTTATTGACACCTAATTTGTTTTTAAATAATTACTTCTTGGGCCGGGGTTTTAGCTCAGTGGTTTCACCACCTGCTGCGCAAGCGTAAGGACCAGAGTTCAATCCTCGGTACCAAAAAAAAAAAATTTTTCTTAAATTAACTTGAAGCATTGCTTGATCTGAAACGTGAGAGCAGTTCTTATTTTCTTCCATGACTGCTGTGGCTTAGTTTTACTTCATAAACTGAGTCCTTTATTTTGATGTGTATTGTTTGAAAACTGGCTATCTTTCAAAAACTGCAGTGATTTCAGATTCCCAGAGAGCCTGTTCCTACTTTACCTTTTAAAAATACTTGACCTAAAAAAGACCACCTTAAGATCTCAAAGCCATACTTTAAAATAATGTTAAAGACAGAGTAATTTAAATCTGTGAGAATTGCAGGTAGTACCACTCAATCTGACAGGTCTGACTGGGTGGCTGGGATTGAGGCTCAGCTGACTCTTATTAGTTATGACTTTGAGCAGGTCTTAGCCTAAGCTTTAAAGAAGACCAGGAACAGGAGCTCCTGCTTCTGAGAGGCATGAGCGGAATTAAATGGGATAATGTAGACAGGTACATGCGTAAGTGTTACGTACCATGTATTTTATCTAAGTATGGTACCCTTTTTCTAATCTTGCCTTTTCTTTCCCGCCATAACTGCCCTTCTGGTCTTAGAAGGGGGTTAAAACAAGGAAGGGTAAAGGAACCAGTTTGCCTGGTTTCAGTAGAATCAAGATAGAGCAGATAATTTATTCAGGAAGGAACATTTAAGATCGTGCCACCAAGAGGACAGCATTCAGCTCCTACCACCCCCACACTGTCTCTGAGCTTCTTTCCAAGTAAGTGGCCAGGAGGGGCCGGGATGGAGCTCAGCGGCACCGCGCCTGCCTGGCAAGTGCAAGGTCCTGAGTTCGATTCCCGGTACCCGAAAAAAACAAAACACCAAATCAACAGGAGCCAGAGTGACAATCCTCCATCACAGTGGCACAGAAGTTCTAAGGTCTGCAGTGATTCCAGATCACATTCTTGGTAGTGTTCTTCCAGTGTAACCTTAGTACACCCTAACATGAACAGAGTTCAGCTTGCAAGGAGGAAATGTGTCTGCTCTAGTGGTAGAAGATACCCAGATCCATAGAGATACATATAATCATCACCTTAAGTGTTCAGAAGAGTTTTCCCTGCCTGAACTGTAAATGAAGTGTGACAGAACTGTAAACTCCCAGCTTTCTTGTTTGCATGTAAAATCATTATCCCTACTGTGCTTGTCTCGTGCTGGGAATGTGATCCTGCTTTGCTGTCCTTTATTCTTCCTTTGTTGTTTGTTCTTTTGTTTTTGAGGCTACATCTCACTGTGTAGTTTAGGCTGGCCTTGAATTTGGGGCGATCCTCCTGCCTCAGCCACTCAAGTGCTCTGTTCCTTTGGAGATCTTTGAACGCATCACTAGCATCTCGCATAGGAACTCGCATGTAATAGTGACTCAGTAAATGCTGACTTGTGGTACTGCCCAACTGTGTCACCCACGCTGTACTGTTTGCTTCCTGTAGCTCTGGTAGCAGAAGAACATCTCACAGTGGATGCCAGAGTCTACTCCTATGCTCTGGCGCTGAAACATGCGACCACGAAGCCATTTGAAGTGCCCTTCCTGAAATTTTAAGGCCAGAGAGAATACTGGCCATGTTTTTGTAAATGAGACTACCAGGCCTTCTTCACAAAGACTGTATTCAACTTAATGTAGATTTGAAATTAGCTTTTTCATAAAATAAAAGCACAGAATGCATGTGGTGGTGGTATGGAATTATAATTACAGGTAGGCTGTGACCTTCACTTAATTACACTCTAGGTAATATTAATGATAAAACCATAAATGCAGGTATTTTTACTGTGATTTTTTTTTTTTTTTTAACCTTAACCAGAAGACAGGGCAATAGCTCTATAGGGAAGCAGATTTGAGTTCCGAATTAGGTGAACTGTACCTACCCTCAACCCCTAAAATGAAAAACTCCATGGCTGGGTATGCAGATGGCTATTACTGCATTAGTGTTTCTAGTTTTGAAAAAGGAGACTTACAGAGGGACTTCCCTGGCCTCCCCAATTGAACTGTTTGCTGTGCGGATTTCTCATCGTGAGCGTGCTTCTCCAGACAACTTCATCTTGTTCCCTGAGCTCCCAAGGGTCCATCCCGTGAGTCCTATGTTGTTCCACTCCTTTAAAACCAGGAGGTGAAGAGGGGTGGAAGAGGGGCGGACCCTGCCAGCTGTCTTCCCACACACACCCTTCCGTCTAAGGCCGTTCCCAGGGGGAGTGACCTTCAGCATGGAGGTGGCCTCACTTCTGTAAACTCTGCATGGCCTTTCCCCTTTCTTCCTAAGTCAGCGCCTGCAGGGGCGGCTGCTCCTGGGACTAATGCCTTGTACTGTCCGTGAGATGAGAGGCAGTGCCTTGGAGATCAGCTTGGATGTGTGCACTGATCAGCACTCGTAAATTGCTGCACTTAAAAATTCCAAGTGTCCCAGGGCCCGGGATTTAGCTCAGTGGTTCCACCTCCTGCCTTTAAAGCGGAAGGTCTGGAGTTCGATCCGGGGTACCAAAAAAAAAAATTCAAAGTTTCCTGTAGATAGCTACGTCTCTTTTGAAGAAAACGACGTAATTAACACTGTTCTATATGTCTTATGATGCTAACAGTGATCAGAAGCAATGGGAGAGGCACACCAGCTGACCAGTGCTGCCATCCTTTAGCTTTTATCTCTTGTGCCCTTTTGGCTTTGGCTCCTAATAAGGCATATTTCCTATCCCTAACTAAGAAAATAACAAAAAAATGTACTTGTGAAAATGTTAAAAATTAAATTTGCCCTCCTTCTGAGGGAAATACTGCCGATATTCTAAACTGAATTCTTTACAAAGAACTATGCAGTTTCAAATGGAGACTGCAGTCTCTGTTACAGAGCCATTAGGGTATGTTAAGACCTGTCTTCCAGTTCCTTTCCAGTATCAGTAACAGGAATGAGTGCGCTTAAGCGAACCTATTTCTCAATAGTTTATAATTAAGCACTTGAGAGTCATTACATTTGACTTCTCTCAGAAGTCTCTGTGTGAGTACAGTGAACCTTATGCAAATAGTCTTCGAGAACATTTAATATCAGATTCCTTTATTTTTCCAACACAACTGCAACAGTTTTATTAAATAAAAGTTTATTGTCTATACTGTTTACACTTCTTGCAGCTATAAGAACAACAAAAGACAAATTCCTAGCATGAATTACTCATTGTTCACCCCCAATGAACTACAGACATTGCTTGAGAATTCAATATTTGCTTTAGGGATTAAAAAAAAAAAAAAGAATTGGGGCACAGTGATTTGAAAGAGTATTCTCAAGTGACTGGTTGGAATTACAAGGCATAGCCAATACAGTCAAACAGCACAGGTCATGCTGTCCCTGGGAAGAAAGGAGGAATGAACGTACAGGAAGAGTAGTTGGAAGCAATCACTTCTAACAACAGAAAACTTCAATGCTTGATTTTGTCCATGGGCCAAGTGGCTGCTTTGGACAAAGAGAAAGAAAGGGTGGGTGGGGATGGAGGGGAGGGAATGTGGATACTATGAGTTCAAAAGTATAAAAAGTAATTATCTAAAATATAGATTAGGTACAAATGCTCCAGAACTCATCACATAAGCTCAAAAATACTGGAAAGTGGCAATTTGAACTACACTTATTTTTAGACAAGGGGAGGATATAAGGGTTCTGAATGTTGTGTGCAAACTAATCCATGTCCCCGTCTCACTGTTGTGATCTAATACAGCAAGGTAGATACATTGGTTTCCAGCATCACAGGCAACCCTAGATGTACATTTTCAAACGAATAATGTAAACTTTAGTTTTAAGGCAGCTGGTACTAATGCTGCACAAAGGCTTAGCTCAGCGCCCATTTCACAAATGGGACAGGTAGCACTTGAAAACAAACTGGGAAGAAAAGGGGAACCCGCATTATTTGACAGAAAACAATGTGTCAAAATATTTTCCCTTTCACACACACACACACACAAAGAAATATTTGAACATTTAGAAAAACAAAGCACCCATCCCTCCAACTTCAGCTTGTTCCTTAACAAATATTTCAAAGTACTGATAAATAATGGTGACTGCAAGCAGGATGCCAGTGCCGGAGCCAATGGCCCCTAGGAAGTCAGCCAGCACTGACAGGGCCCCGATGCACAGACCGCCGAAGGCAGCCGCGGTGGGGATGTACCTAGGAGACAAGGTGCGACAGTCAGGGACACCAGGTTTCGCCAGCTGGGTCCTCTTAAGAGAAGACCGGTCACCGCACAGTACTGATGGTCAAGGCAATTTCTGACCAGACTGAAAAGAAAAAGTGTGTAATCTAAAAAGGCAACACAAAATTCCTAGGACAGCTCAGAATCCTGGACTAAGATTTAAGTATTAGAATACTTCATATTTTTAAACAAGTAAACTTTAGTTTCCTCTGTGGAGTGAAAAGTGAATTTCAAAATGTGAAATGTCAACAAACTCATGTAATTTTGATGAGCCTCTTCAACAGTAATTCAAGTAGAAAACTTTAAAATGGGATTTCTTTTTAATGAAGAAAAAGGAAAAAAGATTAGCGAAGACAGGTGAAGTAAGAATGGCAGAATGATTGTTTCTGATCCTGGAGGCCTCTGTGGTGTATGGTCTGAGTGAGTCCAAGGCTGCCAGAGTTGGTGCCTCCACAAACAGTGCAGGGCAGCTGGGCAGCGACATGCAGTGTAGCCAAGGGCGGGTCCTACCTCACATCAGACACAAAAGTTACCTTGGGGCACAGACTAATGGAACGGCTGAAACTCCTAGGAGCAAAGGGGCTGATCTTCAAGACCTTGGTTCTGGCAACGCTTTCTTAGCTATTATGCCAACAGCAGTACCAGAGGAAAAATAAAAGTGGGCATTATCAAAATTAAAAACTTGTATATTAGAGGACGTTATCAAGAAAGTAAAAAGACAAACCCACAGAAAGGAAGAAAATACTTGAAAATCGTATCTAGTGAGACTTCTATTTGGAAGAAACCCAACTCTTAAAACTCACAAAAAGCTCAATTAAAAATGAGCAAAGGGTCTGAATAGATATTCCTCTGAAGACAAATAGCCAATGAACACATGAAAAGGTGTTCCCAATCATTAGGGAAAGGCGAAACTACAATGAACGGTTCCTATCCACTAGAGGGTCTTGATAGGTCTCCCACCACCTCAGCAGCTATTATGTATAGTAGCTGCCCTCTTCCTATGGTGCCTTGCCCCCTCCCCTGTGTGACGTCATGCCAAGATGGCTGCTCCCACCAAAGAACAAACCCTTCCCAGCATGCCCCTGTTCCCGCCTAGAAAGTAACCTAATACTCGCTCACCTCCTACCACCTAGTGACATCACTGGCTCCTCCATTCCCTAGTCACTACCTCACTCAACCCCACCTCAGCCCCTACAAGTCCCACCCCAGTCTCTATAAAAGACTCTCGTTGCCCGGGCCTTTTTGTTTTGTCTCTCCTTTGTTCAGAGACAGCCCGGCAGATCTATTCCCCTGATAAAGGCTTGTTGTGGCCCGGTCTGGTCTTGGTCTTCGGCCCTTTTACCTGACAGGTCTAAAGTCAAAAAGCAAGAACTCCTGCTGGCCAGGAAAGAGCCACTCTGGAAAATAGTTCAGCAGTTCCTCAAAATAGTAACAGTCTTACTGCATGACCCAAAACTTCCACTCATAAATGAGAACATACATCCTCACAAAATCTGAACAAGTATTTCGCAGTGGCAATATTCAGAGTAACTGGAAGTGGAAACACTCCAAATTTCCACCGACTAATGAATGGAAAGACAAAATTAGTAAAACCACATAATGGAGTATTACTCAACAATAAAAATGAAGTACTGACACTATAAAATGGATGAACTGTGAAAATGTACAAAGTGAAAAGAACCGTTCACAAAAGATTGCATATATGTGGGGGGGGGGGTTGGTACTGGGGATTAAAGTTGGTACCTTGCGCTTGCGAGGCAGCAGCTAAATCCCCGGCCCCAAGACCATATATAGTTATGTAAAAATTACATGCATTGTCCAGAATAGAAAGTAAAATGTAGCTGCCTGGGGCTGGCAGGGATGAAGAATGACTAGTGGATACAAGGTTTCCAGAATGAGAGTGTAAAACTGCACAGTTCCAAATGAACTAAAAAGAAAACCAGTGCGGGTGGTGGCACACCCTAGAAATCCCAGCACTCTGGAAGGCTGAAGCAGGAGGGTCACAAGTTCGCGCTTACTCTGGGTCGCTAAGAGATAACCCTCTCTCTTAAAAAAATAAAAAAGTAAGAAAACAGCTGATGCAAAGGCCCTGGGTTTAAGCAGTACTGCCAAAACAAGCACTGAACTACATACCTCAAATGAATATATTACATTTCAATAATGCAGTTACCAACGGCCAAAGACCTGATACCTGGAATAAATCATAATTCTGTAATTCTGAAGGTGAGATATTAGTATTTTTAAAAGGGCCCTGCTTATTTTATGTGCAGCCAACATGGAGGATACTAATCCACATCATTTTAACATGGCTGCACAGTGAAAGGAATGCAATTTCATGTAAAATAAAGACACAGTAGTCGGTTTTGATGTGGGGAACAATTAAGTTTTAAATTTTGATTCTCGTGTCGAGTAGATCTGTGGTTTGAGTATGAATTTGAACAAATACAGTGATAATCAAAAAACTGATATGCATATACACTCCCAAAAAGGAACAATTCTACTGGGCTTACCTATTAAGCTCATGAACCATCGAGGTATCTCGGTGACCTCTCATTACCATTTGCTGTTCTTTCAGCTGTTTGGCTACCTGCCAAGAGAAAAACAACTCTGAACATCCAACTCTTAACCTTTCACTGTCAACCAAGATCTACATGAAGTGCTTTCCACATAGTCAAAAGTAATACGTAAAGGCTTTCAAACGTTGGCATGGTCATCTTCCCATTAGACCTGAGGCTGTAATGCCACTCGCTACGTGTCAACCACACGTTAAGCCAGTGTTTTCAACTTCTGTTCCATTACCACCTCCCTAAGGAGAAATTAGAGATTTTGTTGGGTAGGGTTGGGTTTGGTAGGATTTTTCACCTTTCCAGGACCAACTTTTAGCCTGTTGCAGGTGAGCTTGCTTTATTTAAAAATGTAATGTGCACTAAACAAAGCTTAAATTTCAAAAGTAGGAATTTATTATTTTGGTGCCTAAAAATTATGAACTTTTAAAAAATTATTTTCAAATAAACCAAATACTTACATCTTTGGCTGAGGACCCAGACACCTCTATCCATGTCTTAGAAAAAAATGCACATGACCCCAACATGAAGATAATATAGACAACTACATGGACAGGATCCTCAAATATTGCACCCATAGACTCCGGAGGAGAAAGATAGTAACACAGGCCTCCGACGGGGTAAGAGCGAGCAGGTCCTCCGCCGCTGACATCCTGGAGGACAAGATCGAAAGGACAAGTGGCCAAGCTGGTGTCAAAGGTTCTTTCCTCTGGCACTGGGGATCGGACCCAGCCCGTGCACATGCTAGGCACTCACTCCACCACTGAGCTAGTCCCTGCACCCCACACCCAGAGCTTGTTTCTTCTGAAGTGAGGGCTCTTATTTGGGCCACACCGATTCCAAACTCCTGGGCTCAAGCGAACCTCCTGCCTCAGCCTCTGAAGTAGCTGGGATGTAGATGCACCTACCTAGAAATCATTTTTGAGTCACATTTCTCAAAAATCATGACAGTGTTTTAAAAGTTTAAAACACCTACAGCTAATGAGTTTATACAAGGGGTTAACATCTGAGTCTACTACCTTCACTCCTTTACTCCAAGATATTTTAAGCATACCATTTAAAAGAGGGATTTTAAGAAGGCAAAAACTGAAGAGAAGATAGGAATATGATCACATATTTAGAATGTGAAGTTTTCTGTCTTATATAAGGGAATCCAACACATGTAGGTAATCTTATGTGATTTCTGCATTTGAAAGTATTAAGAATGCAGTCAAAATACTGACAAGGAACAGCTTACTGCCTAACCTTTGTGTGGTTTCTACATTTTATAAGACTTTGTCTTTATTGTGAAATAGGAAGAAAATGTTCAAATGGGAAGGGGAACTAGGGAGGGGGAGGGGGAAAGGAAGGAAAGGAAAAGGAAGAATAGAAAAAAATGTAAACAAGCTTTTGTAAATGAGGGGTCAAATTTCTGTTAAATGGATAGAAAAGGAATATTGTGGATAAAAGAAATCATTTTCTTGAATAACATTCAAGAGTTACTCACTTTTCAGTTAAAGTTTAAAAAAATACAGTAAAGGGCCAGGGATTTAGTTCACTGGTGCCACTGCCTGCCTCGCAAGTGCAAGGTCCCGAGTTTGATCCCCGGTACCAAAAAAAAAATAATAATAATAAAAGCAGAAAGGTAAGAATCACTGTAGTTTACATATTAAGGTAAATGCATACAGCAGGGGATGTAGCTCAATGACAGAGTGCTTGCCTAGCACAGAATAAGCATCGTATTTCAAGAATGACTAAAAATGCTATTTTTAGTGGAATGCAAATTTTAGAATTACTCTTGTGAATAAAGGAAATTAACCTTTTTAAAATTCTATAACTTGTAGAAAGAAAAATACTTTGTCAAATGATACTATTTTAAACTAATCAAAATTCACACTTCAAAAGCAACATGACTGGATTGTTTTAGCAGTCATGATAAAGAGAATCTCTAAAAGGAACTCAGAATTTACTAGATTCTACTTTTTCTTTTTTTTTTTGGTACCCGGGATCGAACTCGGGACCTTGCGCTTGTGAGGCAGGCAGCAGAACCACTGAGCTAAATCCCCGGCCCTACTAGATTCTATTTCTAGCTGTCTCTTCAGCCTTGTTAATTAGATGCATTATCTACAACAACCCAGTTCATCACAAGCTAGTTTATTGTTATTCCAACCATAAAAAATGGACAAAATAGGAAAAGATAATTCTATTATCCCATATATTATCTGTAAATAGCTGAGATTTTTTCCTTAGCAAGTAGCTTTGTTTTTAAACAGACAACAGAGGAATAAGATTAAAAACAGAAAATCATTTTCATGAAAGCAACTGTGATATTATCCTAAAAGGTCATTCAAATGAAATGAAAATGTTCGTAAAAAGTAAAATAGTAAAAAATAATTAAGTCATAGTTTTACAACATGTAATTCTTCTAGATAAACTCTGGTATGAACCTAAAAACAAAAATAGCAACTGTTTCAGTGTCTTTCTCAGTTAAAAATAATAACCATGAAATGTAAATTATAATAAATTTTAAATACTTTATATAAATAAAATACTCACGGCCCACTGTCCTAGCAAATTTACTAAAAAGTTGCCACTAAATCGAACAGACAGCATCTGGGAAATAACATACAGGTTTGAAACTAGGGCAGACTGAAGAATAATGGGAATATTCGAGGTGTAGAAGAGCTTGATGGGATAGCTGCTGTACTGTCCTCGATACCGGGCCGACTTAATGGGCAAGTCAACACGAAATCCCTAAAAAACACAAGCAATGGTAAATAAAAAGACCGGACATATTGGGGAAAGAACACAGACTCCTGAGAGAAAACAAGTCGCAGCACAGGATATAAAAGGATAATGCTAATAATGATAATCCCTACACATCCCAATATTTTGTACCTTTAGAGTGTAAAGAATGAAATCATTTGCTTGACTAGATCTTGAACAGACTTGTGAGACTAACATTTCAAAGGACATTTTCTTGTTTAAGAGCAAAATGAAAATCTACATCCCTGTTCATTAAGTGCAAAGATTATACTTACCTGAAAATATATAACAACCGCAAACACAAAAACTGTAGCAATGAGGTTCATGAGATTGGGCAAGTTCTGTCGATAAAAAGCCTCCCTTAAGGCTCGCACTTTGTCTGTCCTGGTGGCCAACAAATGGAAGAGAGCTATGACGGCGCCCTCAAACTCGGTACCTGCAAATCAAGACAGCTGTGAGCTGCAGGCACTCTTCCAAATTACCTCAAAGGTAAAGCAAATAACCTGAAACCCAAGCCAAAAGAATTCGCCAATGTTTGCTTTACAACATAGCCATGTGTGCAGGTTCTAAAAATACTAAGATCACCGAGGCAAATCTATCTCTTCAGCATAAATATGAAGTTTTCTCAAGAGACAATTCTTGATGAAAAAATCCAAAGTAGAATCTACCAAAGAAAATATTTTATTCATAAAGATTTGCCTCTCCTCTATGTTTTAGGAAAAGGAGAGAGTATTTTGGGAAAAAATTTAAAAAACGGCAGCAAAGCAGAATAAAAATGCCACAGAGGATATATGTTACTATCGAGCCTGCTTTTAAGCTTACTGTCCCAAGAACATTAATAAACCATCATTACTATTTACTTATGGCTGGGGCCAGAGTTTAGATGTTAATCTGCTAAAATAGATAACAGCTGAGAAGAGGAGCAGGCTAAAGGGGAAAGACAGAATGACATCTTTTCAAAACTTAAGATGCTCTTACAAAGCCAGCTAGAGAAGCAAAAGTATGACTGCTCCCTGCGGATACAGTGAACAATAAATAGTCTTTTGTTTTAAGAAATCTTAGCCCACTACCTTGTCTCCCTCTTGGGAGTGTTGCAATCAGGTAAATGACTTCTGCAGCAATGGCTTAAGCAAGGGCAACAAACAAAATTCTTAAGACCTGTTTGCAACCAGTGAAATTTTAAATAAGCAGAGGCTAAAGCTTAGATATTACTCTATAGATATTACTATTAGATATTACTCTTTTGGAAATAGTACTGCCTGCCCCACACATCTCTGCTTCCTGAGTTTTTACAGTCAGCATTCGCTGTCCCGTGCAGTGGCAAACGGAAAAGGCTGCAGGCATGTCCTGCTACGCTGCAGACTCACTTCAGCACATACCCAGCAAAACGCGTGCAGGTGCAGTCACTATGCACTGTACCTCTGCCCGTGTTAATGGTAGTGGGGCTAAAGGCCTTCCAGACAATGGTTTCACAGATGTTGGTGGCAATAAAGAGGGAAATACCAGACCCCAAGCCGTAACCCTTCTGTAGCAGCTCATCTAACAGCAGCACAATCAAACCAGCAACAAACAACTGTGGGGAAAGAAACGCACGTAAGCAGAAGCAAGAATAAACTCAAGAAAAGGGAGAGAGGAACACCATGGGTTATTTCAAAGCAAGGCATTGTCAGTATCAAACCCAATTACTGTCATATCACTATTATGATTGCTGGGAGCTGCTGACTTGCTTTACTGCAGTCAGAAGCCAATTCTGAAAATCAGGATTAGAGATACTGTCACATTATAAAGCAGACATTTAAACCTTTAAAGTATACTTATGCCATCTGAATAGTTTCCCTTACAATGTTTAAACAGGGCCTATTTGAAAAAGCACACTAAAACAAAAATAAGCACAGATGTAGAATTTGACAGAAACTGAAAGCATTGCAAATACCTTGAAGTAGACGGCTGAATAAATTCAAGAGTAACAAGATTCAACTGTAGAATGCCATTAAAGGGTAAGTATGAGGATTATGTTGTTACTTTTTAAAAAGAACTTTAAGCCGGGCATGGTGGTACATGCCTATAATCCCAGCACTCAGGAGCTGAGGCAGGAGGACTGCCATCATTTGAGAACAGCCTGTGTTACATAGCAAATTCAAAGCCAGCGTGAACTACACAGCGAGACTCTGTCTTAAAAATTAAATCGAAAAAGAACTATGTATGTTACATTTTATATATAATTAGATATTTATACATGTAATATATACAGTAAGTAGAAAATTATAGCACAAATATGAACACAGGTTATAACCAATGCAAAAATACATTCTACATTTATAGTGACAAAGACTGAATATAAATTTGAAGAGAGTTAAGAGTTCACCCGGTTCTTAGGCTCATAATCTTCTTTACCAAAGAAGCATACTATAATTTTGTGATACTAAACATTGTTAATTTTCTTCTTGGAGAAGATATTTCTGTAAAAGCATGCATTGATTAATAAACTACAGCTTTGCAAGTGACCTCCTCAGCTGTATGATCCTTCCCAACTTAAACAGTCTGTTAGAGAGAGGAAGAAAATGTGCTTCCATGCCCCGAAGCTCAGAGCTCCCCACCTTGCAGCAGCGAGAAAGTCACTTCCTTCCATCCCTCCCGTCTACTTCCTTCATCCTGCACTGTCAGAAGAGAGGTCAAACCGGGTACCATTCAAGCATGCTTACCTTACACAACAGTGCTGTTTTTTCCTTAACTGCCATTTCGGCGGTTGTTGAAAGCCTAACTTGTCTACTTATAGTCTTTGACTTTGACTTTCAATGAACTGGAAAAAGGGTACGATTCTCAGAACTTCTAGGAGAGAACATGCTGACCCTTTTCAGTGTGAAAACCAAGTTTGACATCTTAACAAAACAAAGGAGAAGCCAGCATGCACGGTCCCAGGCTCTGGTAAGCGACCTGGCCGAGGTCGCACAGCACCTCTGAAATTCTGTAATTCCCCAGTCCCTTGTTCGGAACGGCATCATTCAAAATACCGAGTGGCCCTTTTATATCTTATCGAAATTTGATTCATGTTTTCCAATGAAAGAAAGGATTGCCAAGAGATCTAAATGAGAATTGGTTTCTATGGTTAAAGGAGTACGACAAAAAACGGCAGAAATTATACATGCTGGTGGGAAGGGCTGAGGCCAGGAAGAGAGCAGCATCTCCAGACGGCAGTGAGGACAAAGAGGCTCCACACCTGCGTGGGGAGAGCAGCCCGGTGAACCTCTGGGCCGGGTCGTGGCTGCGCTTGACTTTTCAACCCCGCCAGTCCCCACACCCAGTCAAGGCTGGCGAGGCACACTCACCTTTCCTGTGTGCCGTGCACACTGCATTTTCTTTATTTAAAATGTTAATCAAGACCCAGTACTTAGATTTCAAACCCACTCCTGGAAAAACACTGACCATGTGAATGAGACAAGAAGTAAGGCCAGAACTACTTTCCACAACAGCATGCAAACAGTTAAAAACCTGCATTTCTGAGGGAAAACATGCTGACCCCATCAAAGCTTTTCAGTGTATGCACACATTTTCAATATGAAGGAGACACATGGGCCACTGCCCATTTAAGATCAAACGTAACATTTCTATATGCATTAACACTAGAAGAATTAACCACAACACAAACATTGGTGTGCAAGAACTTAGAATTTATGTAAAACAAATTAGTACATATTCACTTAGCCTGTTTCATTCTTGGACTGTAACTATTCTTAGATTTCTGGATACCGAGACATCAAAATCACTTAACTTCCTTTTATATCAATTTAAATGTTTAACTAACTCTGTAAGAGGTTTCTCCTTACCTAACCCTGAATTCTCTAGATCCTGTTCCTTAGGGTCTAAATATATTGTTAGGAAGGTACTAGAGATATCTGACTGATGCATAATGTTCTAAGGATTAAATGCTAGTTCTGAATGTCTTTTAAAAAATCAGGGTTATGCTGGGCTGGGGGAGTAGTTCAGTGGTAGAGTATGTGCTAAGCATTCTTGCAGCCCTGGATCCAATCCCCAGCACCACCCCCGCCCCCCCCAAAAAAGTCAGGATCATTCCATAAGTTACATAAAGCAAATGCTATATAAAAAAAAATAAGGCAACAAATGGCTTATTAGTAGTCTCACATAGCCAACCTTATGTGAAGAGGTCCTAAACACTTCAAAAATCAGTCTCCAAAGTATCTCCTCTTCCTATCCTCTCTCTATATCCCCTTCCTGCTACTTTCAATGGCTATAAATTTGCCAAAGGCATGGGTTGTAAATGGAGAAATGAAGACAATGTCATTCCTTCAGGAACTTATCTTACCCCAAATGAAAACACACAGGAGCTCAGACAGTACCAAAGACCCCCAGTAACCTATTAAAAATCCTGCACTAGTCAAAGAAAAAATAGTTCTTATTAGAAAAGTGATCCCCATTGCTAATGATGCCAATAAAAACTTGAACAATTGAACTCTCCTTATTCTGAATCATCCTCACTAGACAATCTTACTTGATTTGCTTCCTAGGTAAGACTTATTAAAAAAAAAAAAGTTCAACATTATCAGTGTGAGATAGACATATGTCTCAATATGTATTAACCTATTTAGGGTCACACCAGTATCTTGGTTCATGAACCTGATTCCACAATTCTGGTCGCAAACCGAGCTGGATGAGAACTGAATCAAATTCAATGGTTAGGTTCAATGTTGACCTTATAGGGAAATTTGATTCGGTTCTCATCTAGTTTGGTTTGCAACCAGAATCATGTCGAGAATTGAGTTTGTGAACTGAGGCCCCTCTGTATACATATATATGTACGTATGTATGTACATGTTATGTCACTGCCACTAACATATTATTACATTTAAAGCACCATGGCAAGTGTGGTGGTGCACACCTGTAATCTCAGCTACTCAGGAGGCAGAGGCAAGAGGACTGCATGTTCAAGGCCAACCTGGGCAATTTAATGAGTATCTCAAAAAATAAAAAGGGTTGGAAGCATAGCTCAGTGAGTGGTAGAGAACCGCTGGGTCTGACCTCCAATAATGTAAAAAACAAGAAAGGACAAAACAGTGTCTCAAACCAAACACCATTATTTTGTGGGCCACTAGGGGAACCCTGTAACCCATGACACACTATCTTTTTACAAATAATTTTTATGCTCTGCTTTTTAAAAAAGGAATGCTAGACTTAGATATAGATATTTATCACCTAGCTGCTTGTGACTTTTTGTTTGTTTTGGTGGGTGTTTCTTTGGTTTTTTGAGTCAGGGCTCATCATGTAGCCCACGCTGGCCTTAGCTCCCAAGAGCGGGGATGACAAGCATGTGTCTGGCTTCTTGGCTTCTGTGACTTTCTGTACACACAATTTTCATTTAATAATAAATCAACATAAATTTTTGAAAAACACTTCAGTGAGCCATTAAGCTCAAATACCTGTTACATCAACAGAGCATATAACCAACTGATCCAGTACCGACTTGAGCAACAGCCAAGCTGACAGGTGCAGGGCAATGACAGCTCCCGTGACTGCCACCTGGCTGACAGCACTGTAAGGCACCACTGAGTGCAGGAAACGTTCTGATTTCAGAGACATCAAAATGTGAGAAAAAGTGTATCTTATAACTGATGAACGATGGGTGATCCATAATTATTTATACAGCACAACTATATAAGTTCTCTCTCTATATTCTATACATAGAATAAATTTAAATTTTTATATTAATATAATTTATTTCAAAAATCACTCCAGTAATTAAAGTATTATAAATAATTCAAAAGTAAGAAGATAAATAACAACTATCCAAAGAACTGGTAGGAAAAAAAAAGGAGCAAACTTTTATTACCTGCATAGGAAAATATAGGATTTCTTACCTGAAAAATGATGAGGAGACAGATCCCAGCACCCATTTCCGCAGGGTCCCCATACATCCCCGTCATGACATACACAATGGCTTGCCCAATGGTAATGATCATACCAAATACTGACAAAAATTGGGGGGAAAAGGAGCACATGCTTACAACCACGACAGAAAAAAAGACCCAGGAAGCATCTTTACCACAAACATTCTCAAACTTGGATAATGCTCTTTAACTGTGTTAATGCTCACATTTCTGGGCTCCGTTGAATAGAGCTCTATCTTTGGGTGTATCTCCAACTTCAATGATTTTGGCTCCAGCCAACAGCTGCATAATCAAACCAGATGTTACAATTGGAGAGATACCCAGTTCCATTAAAGTTCCTATAAAGGAAGGGGAAAGAGGTGAATGATCTTTATTGTCCACAGTACAATTAATTTAGAGGTGTCTGTCCTAAATGACATTTACTGCATGTTTAAATGTGAAACAGATTTTTACTCCTTAAACATTAACTGCCAAATAAGCTCTCATTAACACAACCTTGCAAAACTGCACCGCATAAAAAATATTATAAATACTACAGAACCATACTGTAAATTCTGACCATAAAATGTTTTTAAAAAAATCCTTTTTAAAAGAAACCTTCTGAGGCTGGGGATGTAGCTCAGCAGCACCACACCTGTCTGGCAAGTGCAAGGTCCTGAGTTCAATCCCTGGTACCAAAACAAACAAACAAAAGAAACCTTGTAAGCTAGGAACAGCACCACATGCCTGCAATCCTCGCTGGTCAGGAGTATAGCAAGTTGAAGGACAGACGGCAATACAGACCCAGTTCGGGGTGAGGGACATGAAAATAGACGAAACTTTCTGGGGCAGAGAGCACGTTCAAAACATATAGTGGCCTAGGTTCAGTCTCCAGCACCAGAAAAGAAAAATTTCAAAACTTAAAAGTAAAATAAAGATCCGGGGGTTCAGCTCAGTGGTGAAGTGTCTGCCTAACGTGTAAGGCTCTGGGTTCGATCCTCAACACCAGAAAAAGGAACAAAAGACAGAAAGGAAAAGAACTCTTCCAAGATTCCTCTGCGAACAATTTTGAAATCTTTCTCTAATGCTTTTATCTTTAATGCAAAATAAAAATTATGTAATAAGCCAAAAAACTACATACCAAACTAATAAGAGGTAATTTTCAAGGAATTCTGATGCTAATGCAAAGTTTTAAAGAACATAGGAAGTAACCTAAAACAATGTAGAATGCTCAGTAGTATGAACGATGTTCATGACACAGTAGGCACCAAAAATGTATTCCAAGATAGTATAAATAGTTTGATTCAATTTACTAAACAAGTAGTAAATGAGTATCCTGATATTTTCATCTGGTTATTAAGATGTTTACTGTTATTTTACCCAGTGGGATTACAGATGATTTTTCCTTTGTATTTTCTAAGCTTTTCCTCATAGAAAGTACGCATCACCTTTATAGTGAAAAATAAGAAAACCAGATCTGCCATTCACAGGAACATATAGAACTAAGTAATTCGACAGGGTCAAGAGTATGTTTCCTATTTTTTTTTTTTTTTTTTTT